CAGCCCGTTCATAACACATAGCAGTAATCGCTTCTCGCGTTTAATAATCGGTTACCATTCAAACCAAAAATCTGCCCATGCATGAACTAGTAAACAGTATGTTTTTGTAAACTTTAAAAGGAGAGGGGGAAAACGCCGCTGCGTTGCCTAGCAACTAGTAAATACTCTCGACTAAAAAAGGATCTTTAATTATTTTTTTTTTGGGTTAACGAGTTAGCTTGAATTTAAATAAAATGAATAATTTTTGTGTGTCAATTTTTCTGGCGCTCCGTTCTTGGTTGTCTAGTCGTCAAATGGTAATGGAGGCGAGCGAGTTGACGAGATTCCTTCTATAATGTTGTTGACATGGAGTAAAAACGTGCTTTTTAGATTTAGACCGTAAAAAAAAATAAAAAATAAAAACTTAAGCCTAAAATTAATTTAGAAATTTTATATTTTTAGAATAAATGCTATAAAAGTTGCAAATCCAGAGAACTTGAAAATAATTTGTTGAGTTTAAGGCTACATTTCTATTTATTTTTATCAAGCCTAAGTTATAACCGGATGTTTCACTTTCGTAAGACAAATATTGATTGGCTGTACAGTAACTTAGTGATCGATAACTATTTGTTTACAAAACTTTGCAGATCAAGTTTTTAAATTACAATGCAAATTTAAAACCCCATGACCTAGTTTTCTATTTTTAGCTTACAATGTGTACAATAAAATCAATGGCGGGCCTATCCAATAGCAGGATGCCATTGTTTATGTCGCCATTACACGTGAAAACCAAATTGTTTTTGCTTTTTTTTTTTAATTTTATTTAGTTACCGAAAATATTAAAAACATCAAATACGTCCAATCTTTAGTAAAGTCCAAAAATAACCAGAAAGACAGGATTTTATAACCATATTAATTGTAACTAACGCCGTGCAAGATTTTTAAATTAATTTATGCACCTCTCAAATACCTTTGAGACTTTTCTCGCTCGTGTCCATTAAGCTGGGGTAGGTAATTAGTGTTAATGAGCCGATTTGTATGCAGAGGGGACAGCTACGATGGAAGCTGGAGGGTCGGGTTTTTTTTAAAGTCTGGGTGGGGTGCGGGGGGGGGGGGGGGGTGAAGATGGGGATAATGGGAGTTTAGGTGTCGAGAGGTGGGGGTTGAGGGGTTTATAGGTAGGGTGCAGGGTTCGATAGGATAGGTTGAGGGTTCGATGGTGGGGTGGAGGGTTCGAATAAAAAGGGTGGAGGGGGTTTATAGGTGAGGTGGAGGGTTCGATGGTGGGGTGGAGGGGTTGATTGGGTGGAAAGGGCTGATATGTGGGGTGGAGGGTCGATAGTTACTGTGGAGGGGTTTGATATGCACGTTGAAGACTGCGATAGGGGGTTCCGGTCATTGACTTCCTGGACATAACCCTCTCCCCTCCCTCCATTCCCCCAGACATAAAAACCCTGGCCGCCCCCCCCCCCCCGATAATTATTATGTTTGTTTTGTTTTTAATTATGATATTTGGTTATTATCATCATTAGTATTTCCTTATGTAAAACAATCAGAGGGAGGTGAGCGGGGGTCTCATCCAGGTCTACTAAACTCGAGCACCCCCCCCCCCCCACCATCACCACCACAGCCCCGGGTCGCACCTAAAAAAAAGGTTGGCGTCACAAGCGGAACGTGACGTCAACAATCTTAAATGGGTAGTGGGGGAGGGGGGGGCTGTCATTTTGACATGCACAATAACACTTCAAAATATTTTTTTAAATTGAATTAAAACTTAACGAGTGATCAATTAATGTCCAGATCAATTTAAACCATCATTAAACTCCGTGCCGATTTTTTTTTTACTTTAATTGTTTTTAAAATTCGAGGTGTCATTATTTTAAATTGTAGTTGGCGGGTTTTGAAAATTATATCAGAGATGGGGGGGGGGGAGGGGGGTAAAATGTCCAGCTGACCCTTAGGGAGCACATTGAGAAGCTCTGCACCCCCTACTCACACACACACACGCACGTACGCACGCACGCACACACACACACTCTCTCTCTCTCTCTCACACACACACACGTCTTGCTGGGAAGACACGTCAGGCCTATGAGAGGGGTAAGATCGTTTCTAACGTGATATCAAAGTTTTTTTGTTGGCCTTCACCTTTCCTCCCGGTTGTTGTGGGTACCTGGCCACACAGCTTTAACACCAACACGCACACACACACACTTACACACGAGCCCGCACACATACTCACACAAACACACACATGCATCGATAAAATTTCTTAATATTAACCGTTATACAGTAATTTGGTCGGAAAAAAACTAAAATCGTTCTACCATGACGGAGAGCCGGGAGGGGGGGGGGGTGTAGGGAGAGAGTAAGATCCTTGTATGGGGATGGTAAGAAGACGAGTGGCAGATGTTTACATATGATGACCGTGATTAGGACAATATTGCCAGGTAGAAGTGACAAGAGAAAAATTTCAGAGTGGGGGGGAGGGGGGAGGGGCAAGGATAAGTTGACAATAGGAGGGGGTCGGAACTTAAAGCGTGTGACATTAATGTAGAGTGTACACCGACTGTTTGCAGCGATGTAAATTAAGTTACACGATCGGATTTCAAATAAATATGCGTGCGTTTTATATGTCTGTGTGTATGTATGTATTTAGGTGCCTACAAGTATGTATGTATATATGTCTATGTGTGTAAATAAGTGTGTCTGCTTAGATGTGTATTTTAAGTACGCGTATGTATGTATGTAAGAGCGTTATGTTAGTGTATGTATGTATGTAAGTGTTTGTATGGTTGTGAGTGTGTTGCATAAATATGTGTGTAACTCAGCTCTGCGTATGTTTGTGTGAATGTGTGCGTGGTGAGTATTTGAGTGCGTGTATGATTGTACATGTGCGTGTATAGTTGTGTGTGTGCGTGTATACACGCTTGCTACACGTCTACTCGCCTACACGCTGACCTTGACAGACAACCACTCACAACAAAGGTCAAGTACTCATCTCTCGTTACATTAACAGCCACTACACGGAAAACTTAACTGTAACTTAAACCTACGACACTTAAGCCTAATCCGTTATACAAGCAAGGCAAACGGCCATGACTTTTACTTCTAACACGGAAACCTAACCGGTCATATTAGCACGGCATACTTCACCATAACTTTAAACTTTAACCCCTAACCGGACAGGTTAAACCTATTACATTAGCAGCGTCTACACGAGTCTGGCAATCACTTTGGTCCTTTCTACTAAGTTAAACCTAACCTGAAACCCTATCCCTAACGTGTGTCAGTCTAGTTATAAGGCATCACCCTAACGCTAAACCTGTAGAAAGGGTTGGGTTGTGAGGGTTCATGGGAATTGAGAAATAAGATTTTTAAAAAAAAAGGAAATTTTTTTTTTCGATCTATATTTTCGTGAGGGAGGGGGGATTCCATGATATTATCGGGGGTGTAAGGTCGTGTGATGTAGGAGTTGTGTGTGTGGGGGGGGGGGATATTGCGTGACGTCATTAATGGCAAGATTCGTTTACAGCGGGTCATAAGCTAATAAAAACGGTTAAACTCACAAACAGAACAGACAGTAGGTGGTGGGGTGGGCTGAGTGGGGTGTAAGAAAGGAAACTGGTGTGTGTGTGGGGGGGGGGGGGGGGGGGGGGGGGGTTGTAGACTAAACACTTGTGTCACTGCCGTGTTAATTACTCAAGTGCGCGAGCAGCAGACCGACACGCGAGTGAGTGCTCACCCCGGCATTACGGCAGCCGACAAGGACGGACGATGGACTTTTGTCAGCGGGTCACTAGGTCAAGCCCCCTCCCCCCCCTCACACCCCCCCCCCCCTTTTTTTGTTTCATCATTGAAGAGACCTTGTTAAACATTAATGAGGACTTTTTTTTTCTAAACACAGCGTCCCCCCACTGTCTCAAATGCTGACGTTAGAACGAAATAAAAACAGGAATTAATTAATTAATTAATTAATTAATTATTCTTGTCTTGTCTTGGCTGTTGTTTTTGTCCGGTCTGCTCAATGTCAACCCCGCCGGGCATTAAAGACTAATCTGTTTTTTATTTCTTTCCTCTCCCCCCCCCCCCCCATTGCTCTTTCTCCTTATCCTCCACCCCCCCCCCCCCCCCAATCACATACACTGACATGCAAATAAACAGTTGAGTTTGTATCTCTCTCTCTCTCTCTCTTCTTTCGTCCATACACAAACACGCACATACAACCAATCTCTAGTATATTTCACCCACTTCTCTCTTTCTCTCTCTATCCTCTCTCTCTCTCTCTCTCTCTCTCTATACCTCTCCCCACCCCATGCGAATGGCTATCTCTGTGTCTGTCAATGATCAGATCACTGAGTAAGTCATAGATATACCCGCACTTCCTGTGTGGATCGGCCGACTAACTCAATGATAATTGCTCCGTCTCTAAGCAGTTTGAATCTATAAATAGAATAACAAAAGGAAGGAAACGAAATTTTAAAACTGATTTCCGCCATTACAAAAATAACATGAAACCTACAGTTCACGACACATCGCATAGAATTTAAAATAAATATTAGGCCTATAGGTTTAATACATATTGCATAGAATATAGAAATTTAGATCTAGTGTTCTGGTTAGTAGTTATTTCATGTTTATTAGGATATAGTCTAGATTCTAGAATCTAATCATACGGCTGCATAAAAAACCCATCTAGATCTACTCTAGAGAAGCGGAGGTAAGAAGGTTAAAGTTAAATTAGTAATTTACATGATTTTTATTGTAGTTTCACTGTTTGTTAGGCCCAATTATTAAATCTTTAGATCAGAGGTCCAGCTTGATCATGTGTGGCATCTATTGTGGTGCATTGGAATGAAAAGCCCACATACTTAAATATAGAATTTAGTAGGCCTATACTATAACTGTACTGCCATACTTTAAATTTGTTACCACAAGAAAAAAGCCTATTTACTATTATTAGTTATAATTAAATTAAATTGAAACATTTGTTTATCTTTATAGTTTATAGTGAATAAATGCTAATGAGCATTATTCAAGCTGCTGTTATATTTAGGCTTATAGGCCTATATATTCTATAGCTTCGGCTATAGGCCTATACTATAGACTATATATTATATACCAATATTGTGCATAAAACTTAAAGCATGTAAGCATACACAATAATAATTATCATTAGACTTATAGTAACTAAGACTCGTACTATTTAGTACTACTTTAATACTACCTTTAAACTATTAGGCATAATGAAATAATGATTAATGATTTCAGTGTTTTCCGCACTCGAGAGGAAAGAGGTTGTAGGGAACTTAGAGACTAAACCTTGCCAACATACTGGATTTCTGGTGATGACAATAGGAGCAAATAGTATGCGGCTCAGTTAATACTAAAAACAATTGATTTTAGTAATTAGTGGTAATCTCATTTTTAAAATAATATATTATAACATGGTATCGCAAAGGTTCAGGTTGTCCAATAAATGGTAATTAGAGTCAGGTTTAGGACTAAAGTTTAATGCTTGGTTAGTAATATGCATCAAGTTGGGAAATACATAGAAATGGAAATACATAGAATTTAATGTGTTCATTCGCAAAAGTTACTATTTAAATTTTTTTAGGCCTGCTATTAATTGCTGAATAATATAATCACTATACTTATCCACTATATTATGTTTAAATAGAGTGAGTTTAGATCAGTCGAGTAAATAAATTTAATAGCAAGACACAACTAAAATTTACAATGAATATATATATATATATATATATATATATATATATATATATATATATATATATATATATATATATATATATTGCTATTTTATAAAAGTATGTAAATCACAGAACAAACATTACTTTGTATTGTGTCTACAACTTAACAAAAATGCTACTACTTTGATGGACTGCACTAAATAGGGGTTAGCTTTAATTTAATAATTTGTGAGATATTCTTGCTAATCTATGTGTAAATTGCTTTTCAGGACTATGAGTGTGTGTTTGGCCATCCAGATTTCATAACTACAACTGATGTTCAATTACAAGGGATATTAATCAGTCTCCGTGGACTATACACTGTGCCTAGTTTCATCCTCAGGTAACTGTACTATAGGCATAACCCATTTTTTAAAGTAATTATTATAGCAAGAGATAGCATTATATGTTATAATAAATATGATGGATTTTAATCCAAAATATTTTATTAATTATTGTCTTTTCTTAAATTCTAATAAATCAGTGAGTTGTACAACATAGAGGGTATTATATTTGAATGATAATTGAAACACATATTGTTATAGAGCTCAAAACTATGTACTTATCTAATATAATTAATATACTGAAACAGTTTTATTGAAGCATATTATTTCATATTTTACCACACAGAGACTGATGTGTTAGCTTAAAGTAAAGACATCAAAGTATCAGCTATCAAGAGGGTAAATATTGATAGTCTACTTCATTAATCTTCAATATGAATGAACACAATTTTAAATCTATAATCTTTGCTGATAATGTTTGTTTCTTGTTATTCATCATGTTCAGTGCTTTATCTTTTCAAAGTAATTAGTTATAGTAAAGAATAAGTAGAGATAGTAATATAAATTTGTAATGTATTTCTCTTGCTAGTTCCACAAAAGAATATTTCAAAATATTTTGTCTTTATTTCATTTACAGAAGAACATTCAAAATCATATTGTGATACACAAATCAAGCAAGTCTATGACCAGCATTATGATACAGGCCAAGAAAAAGCTGGATATTTGATTGAAAGGGTGGCACAAAAAAGATGGGTTATCACTAGGGAAACAAGCTCGGAATACAGTTCACTGTTGGGACATCAAGCCAAATACTTCTAAACTTATTTGAATCATTTTTGCTGTTTATTATAATTCATCCAATTGTCTTATTAAATATATAAATTTATATATATATACACAATTCCTAATATAGAATTTCTAAAAATGTTTTATTATAATATTTGAAAATGAAACAAACATGTTCCCAGAACACAGCCACATAATGTCAACATATTCCCAGAACACAGCCACATAATGTCAACATGTTCCCAGAACACAGCCACATAATGTCAACATGTTCCCAGAACACAGCCACATAATTTCAACATGTTCCCAGAACACACAAAATGGCAACATGTTCCCAGAACACACAAAATGGCAACATGTTCCCAGAACACAGCCAAATAATGGCATCATATTCCCAGAACACAGCCAAATAATGTCAACATGTTCCATGAACTCACAAAATGGCAACATGTTCCCAGAACACACAAAATGTCATTATGTACCCAGAACACACAAAATGGCAACATGTTCCCAGAACACACAAAATGGCAACATGTGCCGAGAACACAACAAATGACAACATGTGCCGTTAACAATACTTCACTTTTTCCTTAACAATTTTACAAGCAGGTAATAAAGCCATAAATCTTTACTGTGGATATAGCCAATAAATAGGGTAACCTTCACTATATGCAATTTGTAGTTTTCAATGCCTGTCCCATGCATATTATTTAGCCTAGTGTTTTGGGCCTTGCTTCATTTACTCAATAAATTATACAGGCATGAGAATTTTCATTATAATCTGCAAAAGCTACATTCTGTACATTATTATTTTCAAACTACATCATATATTTTTCTCTTCTCTGATAAAAAATATTCCTCATATTGTTTGTGTCAAGGATTTTATTTTTATCTATGCAATGCTATATTCCTATTTTATAATAATTACTTTTATACAAATTCTTTTGAAAACTGTTCTTTATTGATTTGTATTATTTTCTTTATTTCTGAAAAATAAAACTTTGTTTGGGAATCTTTTTTTTTGTTTCTGTACAAATTAATAAACATAAATACCTACCAGGCTTAATATCCAGCAACATTAAACAATTAAGTAGGGCCTATTGTTAATAATAGTAAATTTTATACTAATTAATGTGATTTCTCCTGGCCACCTTGTTCTGAATACCTTCAACTGTGTCAATGTTGCTACCAACTCCAATAATTAAAACTGAAGCCATTTACTATGAAGTAAAACTTGGGTGTAATCCAAATCCACCCTGTTGCCGGGGGCAAGGTACCAAACATGTTGTCCAGTAGAGGGTTAAGAAAGTATCATTATTAAATCAATATTAAACCCCTCCTCGCCTACGCCATTGCTTGTACGCATATGGACGTTATCGGAATTTACTGTATTGCTTATAAGTCGAAAATGCGAAAAAGACACGTTTAACATTACTAGTTTGAAGAATAACATTCATGTTAGCCGAAACAGATGTATTCTAAAGTTGTTTAAATTCATATTATTGTTCATTACGATTAAGTTGTCTATAGGCCTATTTAAAAAAAGCATAACTAAAAAGTGTTTTAACGCATTTTCTTCTTAGAAAAGCCTTACATGCATGATATCAATAACATTACGGCAAATCTAACCCTTGAAGAAGCCCCATCAACCATTCAATTATTACGATGGGCAACAAATAAAACGCCCGCATCAAGGTACAGTCCTTATGCTATCGACATTAGCTCAACCCCGGCAACTAACGTGTCCCAAAACCAAGAATTGAAATCTTGACCCATTATTCTGATTAATTAGTGGTTAAACATTTTTAGGCATCTGAAAACGTCAGTGGCGGAACTAGAAAAAAGGGGCCACCCCGCAAAAAATTTTTTAGGCCCCCCCCCATATATATATATATATATATATATATATATATATATACATATATATATAGGCCTATATATGATATGGTATATATACAATCACAAAATACCTAATCTGTAGACCTCACAAGTCTAGACGATATATTTGTGCCTCTGTTTTTAGACTTTCAGAACAAATGCATGTGATGTGGTCAGTAGGCACATAAAAGAGAAAAGTAGTTTTAATCTAGAGACTTCAAACATTTCTGAAGGACCGAATTTGAAGTTGTAGGCGGTGGTGTCGATGCCAAAGTTTAGCGTCGTCCGCAAAGATAAGCTATCGTTATATCATCTCTATGCCCATATTGTGACAGATATTTACAAATGTGTCTAATATAGGACAGAATACAGAGCTACTCAATAGAGATAAGCGCAATCACTTGTCCACGACTTAAGAAACCACTGTACTGCAAAACCCACCTAAATGGTAAATGTCTTAGATGTGTGTTTTAATACAAATGTGTACCTCGTCGCGAGTTAGGACCTGTAGGTAGTCTGTTACTACTCTATATCTAAAAACAATAAAAAGATAACGGGAATTTTACTTGTTCAATTTCTTGGTTAACTGTATTTGTTGCATCTTGTTCAATTTTGTTAATATTGATTAACCTAAAGGGTTCAAATGTAACAAAGAAAATTGTGACTAAGTTTTCGGGTGCAGGTATGCGGACACTAGTTAAAGTAGGCCCTATATATCTATTTATATTTATAGAAATGAAAGTATGTTTATCTGTTTGTCCTATATGAATTACTACCTTTTTCATCGGATCGCCATAAAACTTTGTGAACAGAGTTTTTTCCAGGAATCTATTCGGAGGGGGGGGGGGGGGGGAGAGGCAGAGCCCCCGCACCCCCCGAAGAAAGTCTATCGACCCCCCACCCCCGAACGAAACGGAATTTATATAGAAAAAATATATACTTTTAACAGTGTCCGCACGCCCCCCCCCCGGTAAGATTTCGCCAGGGCGGCGCCCTAGCAGGAAGCAGAGGTGTAGCAACCTATTCCGGCGCCCGGGGCGAACTATCAATGTTGTGCCAACCCTATTCGAACGCTTGCAAAAAGGCGCCCATCCCTACCTACACTCCCCTATATAAAATAATTGAGGATATCAGTCATGTATAAATCTGTTTTCTTAAATTTTACTGAAGAATGAGGATTTTTAAAAAATTGTCTACCCCTTTTGGCGCCCCATTCGATCTGCGGTCTCTGACAGGAAGCAATGCAATTTTTCTCCATAAAAATAAAAGCCAGATGCAATTTGACACTGTTCGTACGAAAGTCATAAAATTTTGGGGAGTTGGTGAAAAGGGTTTCGAGAAAGAAAAAAGTGTGGCACCCTGGGAGGATTCGATTTTTCTCATTATATTATTATGAGCTCAGAATCCAGAGGGGAATCCAGAGGGGCTATCTCATCAATTGCGGTCTTAGGTAATACTAGATTCAGCAGAGGCGTAGAGGGGGGTGGGGGGTACATATGTACCCGGGCGCCAACCCTAGGGGCGCCAAAATGGGTGGGAAAAATTTAAAGCTCATTTTAGCTACAGTTTTGCATTATAAATATTTAAAAAATACGGGGGGGGGGACGCCAAATTGAAAGTTTGTCTCCGGCGGGAGGGGGGGGCGCCAAATTGAAAATTTGTTCCCAGGCGCCAGGAATGGTGCTACGCCTCTGAGATTCAGTGATAAAACTACACCAGGTTCATTCGCCAGCTCCCCGGCGGTTGAGTGGCCCAGAGCGGCCAAGACCCACCTCGGGCGACACTACGGTTTAGATGGGCTACTATAAATGTTCACTAAGTAGAATAATGAGCGCCCGCCGGCGCCCTGGCAGTTGGCGACAGCGAGCGCCCCGGGCTCTACAGAGAGTGCCTCTTTAAAGAGCACCCTACAATAGGGACACGGTGGCACACGATATTTTATAATTAAACCGAATTAGGGGCGCCCCTGCGGGAGTATAACCAGTGGCTCCCTGGAGCGCCAAGGGACGCGTCTCTAACACATGGGCGGTCGCAATGTGTGTTCTACCTCACTATTACAGAGGTTGATTAACGTACACTCAAGGCTTTCATACAGTGAGCCTTGATGCGTCTAGGCGGCAGTGTGGACAAACCCGCGCCCCAAAAACGAATATGTGGGTTTGTTTGTTTAAGCATTACCAAATATTTCATTCGTTTGTCATTCAAATTTGAGAAGTTAATGCTAATACCCCTGTGGTAGTTTCTGCGAAAAAAAAATCAATTTGGTGGCGCCCTGGCAGGGTTCCATTTAGCTCCCCGGGTTTTCCCGTTAGTATTATGGTACCTTTGTTCGTTTTAATAATTGCGAAACGCTATGAATATGATGGGCTACTATAATCGCTCACTATACCGAGTGAGGCGCCTTCCTACCTAGGCCCACCTACCTACATACCTAACTCCCTGCCTACGTACCTACCTATCTACTAACCTGCCTGCGCTGCTGCCTGCCTACCTACTTTCCTACCTACCGTTATTCCTGCCAAACTGCTTTCCTTCCACCCACCTGTCTACCCACCTCACATCCTACTTACACACACACATATCTTCGTATGTATATATGTATGTGTTAGTGTGCTCCAGGACTATGTATTTTTACATTTTTGTTGTTACGTAGAACTATTCAGTATAAAGGAGTTTCCTTTTTTTTTTGACGTTGTAACTGCCGCTAAAATATTCTTTTTTGTATGTGTGCATAAAATAGTGTAGGTTTATTAACAAATTGTAAATTTTAGTATGTATTTAAGTGTATATAGTCATTTTCGTCAAGCCAATGTGTTCATAATCTTAAATTTAAAAACCCATGAAACTCGATAGCCAAAGATTTAGAATGAGAATAATTGCTATTTAACCAGAAATACCTATTCTAATTATTGTTATTATATTTTTTAAAATAAATATACACAGAGATAGATTGTTTTCTTATATAATTAATTAAAAAAGTCAACTGTATTTCATAACGAAAATTAACACAAAATACATTCGAATAGAAACTGTCAAGGGAGACTACTCTAATATTTGTAGGAATAATAGTTTTTATTTAGAGTTTTTTTTTTTATTATTAGAAGAAAAGTTAATCATGTAGGTTCTATAAAAGATTACCTTGCATTTAAAAAAAAGATATTCGATAGGTTTAGAATTAGAAATAGTCAAAATTATTTATTATATTCATTAGTTGTTTTTTTAATAATATAGTACAAAGACCTGTTTTAATTATTTTTTAAAAATCTTATTTTAATTAATAAATTATAAATGAAGATCGAGGATCTATATTTTTAAAAAAATAGTTTAACTGTCCCTAAACAATTGTTTTAATCGCTGAGAAATTAAGAATTAATAATTACGTTTAACGCTTTATTAATTAAACGAGTTGAATTATTTCCGCTTTGATAAACTCTCTCTCTTTATAACTACTAACGCTTTATCATTGAGTTTCTTAAGAGAAAAATACAGGAGAGCGGTAGTTATCATTGACTCTGTCATTGATAATTTCATTGAGTCTTTCATAGAAAATAGTGTTTGATCGGCTGCTCTCCCCCTAATACTTGCCCGCACACACAATCGATCTTTAATCCGTCAGAGTTTGTTTTTTTAATACGACTCCAAGAATAGACGGATATATGTGGTGGAGATGAAAAATATTTTCTTTAGCTAACAATAAAACCTTCTTACACATAGATTTTTGCCTACAGGAATAGCTCTTTATAATTTCTAAAGAGCTATTTCTGTAGGCGAAAATATTACTTTACCCG